TTTGGGGGGTCCTAGAAGGTGTCAGGGGGGCTCTAAGGGGTCCTGGAGGGGGTTGGGGGGAATTTGGGGGGCCCCATAAGGTTTGCGGGGAAGCAGAGGGAGGTTTTGAGGGGCTTGTGGGGGATCCTGGGGCGTTTCTGGGGGGGTTTGAGGGGTTCCTAGGGGGGGTTTGGGGGGACTCAAGAGGTCTCTGGAGGGGGGTTTGAGGGGTTCCCAGGCCGTTTCAGGGGGTTTCGGGGGGGGTTTCTGGGGGTTTCCGTGCTGTTCCGGAGGGTTTTGGGGAGCGTTACCATCAGGTTCTCCATGTCCCGGACCTCCTGGTTGACGTGGTTGAGGATCTGGCGGCAGCACTCGGCCGCCTGCTCCACCTTGGCCCTCTCGGCCGCGGCCTCTGCCAGGGGCAGGGAGGATTTTGCGGGGGATTTTGGGGGTCCCGGAGCCCGGATTTCGGGGGGCTCGGGGGTTGTTTTGGGGGTCTCACCAGTGCATTTGGTGATGCTGAGCAGCAGCAGCGGGTACTTGGTGAGCCTCTGCATCTCCGTGGGGATGATGTCCTTGAGCTGCAGCCGCCGGCACCGTGGGCGGCTCTCGGCCTCCTGAGGGGTCCCAGGCAGATTTTTGGGGGGGTTCCGAGGGGGTTTGGGGTACCCGGGAGGTGTTTTTGGGGTCCCCCCAGAGGGTGTTTTTGGGGGTCCCGAGGGCTGTTTTGGGGGATCTGGATGAACTCCTTACGCCCCATGTCCTTGACCATCCCAAGCCCCCTCTGAACCCCCCCCAAAACACCCCCAAAATCCCCCCCAGATGTCCTGAAACTTTTTGGGGCGCTCGGAGTGTATTTTTGGGGTCCCCGAGAGTATTTCTGGGGCTCCTTGAGGGCGTTTTTTGTGCAGCAAGGGGGGGTTTTGGGGGTACCTGGGCGAGCTGATTACACCTCATGTGCTTGTGCCAGCCCCCAAAATCCCCCCTTTAACCCCCCCCAAATCTTTGAACCCTCCCCAAATTTTTGGGGGCGATTTTGGGGTGTCCCGGGGGGCTGTTTTGGGGGTACCTGGATGAACTGGTTGAACCTGGTGTCCTTCCTCTGCTTGGCCTTGAGCTGCTCCAGGGCGAAGCTCTGGCGGCTGCAGAAGCGCGCCGAGATCTTCTGGAACCAGCTGCCCTCGGTGCCCTCGAACTGGGGGGGCAAAGGGAGCCCCCCAAACCCCGGGGAGACCCTGAAATTACTGCTGAGACCCCCCAAAAGCTCGGCTGAGACCCTCAAAACGTGTGTCAGAGCCCCCCTGAAAGCACAGGTATGAGCCCCCCCCCCGACTCACTGTGAACCTCCACCAGGTCCTCGAGGCTTGGGAAGATGTTGGAGAGCTCCTGCTCGTCGAAGAAGCCCTCGCGGAGCATGGGCTGGTAGAAGAGCTCCAGCAGCACCCGCAGCATGCGGACGTGGGCGTGCTCCGTCAGGAACAGCTCTGCAAACGGGGGCCGGGGGTCTTTGGGGGGGTCCCTGAGGGGTTCGGGGGGGCCTCACAGGGAGTTTGGGGGTCTCGGGGTACTCCAGTAGCTCTGGGGGGGGGGGCCAGGGGGGGCCTCGGAAAGGTCCTGGGGGGGTTTCGGGGGGGCTAAGTTGATTTTTGGGGTCTTT